AGCGAAATCAACTATAAAAATAAATAAAAAATTTCGGTGCTATTTTTAGCACTAAAATTAAATTTAGTAAAAGGGTGAAAATAACAAAAATTTTCACAAATCCTTCATAAAAAAATTTAAATTGATTACACGCCTCAGAAATAATTGCAGACACTTAGCAACAAAAATAATTGAAGACACTTAGCAACAAAAATAATTGAAGACACTTAGCAACAGAAATAACTCCAAACACTTAGCAACAGTAATAATTGAGAACTTTATTGCAACTGATCTAAAAAATTACTGCGAAACTTAAAATGTTGTTAAATAGAAACTCTCACTAAACATTTAAAAATTTACAGAAAACACACTTATATATTACAGGATTTAGAGCTATTACGTAAAAAATNTGTGTTGCAAAGGAAGGGGCAAGATATCAGCTCCTAGGTTTTTTTTTTTTTCTTGCTTTAAAAGATAAAAAAAAAAAAATCGATTTAAAGGGAGGAAAATTCGAGTAATCGAGAATAATTAACATGAAATTGAAGATAAAAGGGTCGGGACCTCATAAAAAAAATCGAGTTATAGTAATATTCGAGTTATCGTACTTCGAGTTATAGCGAACTGACTGTATACCTCACGCAAATCACCGTTTGGTGAAAAATAGTTTAAACTATATAAGGTAGTATGAGTGGTTTAAACTATATTAGTTTTTAAAACGGTTATGTTACTTATATATATAGCGGTAACAAAAATATCTATATCGATTCCTATTAATGATCAAAGCAATTATTAGGAATAATTATTAGAATTAGTTAATAATTAATTTTCTTTTATAACCATTTTTTAAATTAAAATTTGAATTCTAAGGAAAATATAAAAATGTAAGGCTATGTTATAATTGTTAATAAAGTAGCTACATTTAAAACAAGACAGGGTCAACAGTTTATACCAGTTACAGATTATAAATAGTTTTTTGCTTCCAGAAACAAATAAAAGGAAAATAATTGCTAAAATACTTACTGACCATACACCATACCAAAATATAACCAATATAAAAACTAATATTAGCGTATACTTTTAGATGCGGCCTAGCATTATAAGCAAAAAAATATATAAACAATTGTTTTTCAACCTGCGGTTTGAGAAAACATAAATGTAATAGAAATTCAATGTAGGACTATAAAAAAAAATTTTTTTTTAAATTTATTTTTAAATAAGGACAATTTATAAATCGAAAATTAATTAAAATTAAGACATACTTTATTTCAAACTTAGAACATCTCTACATCTAATACTTATTTCCACAGGTTACAGCAATAACCGAACTTTCGTATAAGTAAGTATTTTAATATCATGTTTATATTTTCTGCAATATAAAATCACTTTAAATGTCAAATAGTTGGGAAAAATTTCTCTGGTCGGTGAATTGATCATGTCGGCGAAATGAGCCTGTCGGCAAAATCGAACGCGTCGACGAAGTGGCGTCGGCGATATAATCTGTCGGTAAAATGATTATTGGCGATATGAAAATTTCTGATTCAACGTAAATCTGTTTGCAGTTTATTATAATTTAAGAGTTTCTTTTAATTGTAGCATAGTATAAAAATAAATTGCAGAAAAAGAAAAATAAGTGTCGAAATATTTCTTTTAGTACCTACAGGGTGCGTAGCCGAATCTCTCAACAAAAACTAAGCACTCAAAATATATTTTTAAGCACTATATATATTAACAAAATGCTAAATAGTTTTCAAAGACTTTACATGATCATGATAAAATAACTAGTTTCTGATAAATAATTCTTTTCTTGATTATATTAGCCACGCTAAAAAGATCGAGATTTTAAGGTTCAATATCAGAGGGTGGAAAATGAAGTCTGAAATTGAGAATATCTTGCAAAATGCAGCAGAGTTGCACATGAGACTGCAAGAATCTCCCCAGCTCAGTAGGCGCACATGCTGACTCGCAAGTATTTCATCAAACATGTAAAATGATTGGCGCTTTCATAAGCTATGGACCAACGGTAAGCTGAAATGAATTGTGAAAACGTTGAATAGAACAATGTGAAAAGCACGCTTTTGCATAATATGTGGCGAAAATCGACATGGTAACGAAAGAAATCAAATTTTTGAAAAGGGAAAATTAAACACTTTTTAAAAACACCCAATGATAAAAGCACCTTTAAGGACTTTTAAATAACGAAAATCGAAAATAAGCACCTTTAAAAACTGCTATGCACCATGACCCATTACCAATGAGCAATAATCATTTTTTTTTTTTTTTTGACTGTACATATTAAATTGTACGTAAACATAACCTATAAAATCAAGCACGATATATAGGATAATCCTGTTAACGAGTAGACTGACTAGATGACATGAAGAAAAAAAAAAAAAAAAAAAAAAAAAAAAAANAAAAAAAAAAAAACCCTCCTAAGCAAATAAGACTGAGATCATTATGAGTTAGAATAAAAAGTTTAGCACTCATAAGTCAAAAGAGTAAAATCATTTTACAAATCTATATTTTTTTTGAAAATTTAAATGAGTAAAATTTTAATTTATCTTTGCTTATTTTCAATGTAATTTTATTTGAAGATTCCTGTACAAGGGCTAACCATAGAATTGTATACCATTTATATTAAAACAAGTAGTCTCAGAGCAGGGGTACATAGGTCCTAAATTTAAAAAAAAATATACAAAAATGATTTTTTTCTTTTTTTAACTATGCAGTTGAGCGTCTTTTATTTTTTTAATTGGTGTTAACTCAATCTAAAGGTTTGAAAGTCTATTTATTATATTTTTCATTAACGATCATGTAAATGAAAATCGAAAAAGTATCTTAAAATAATCTCGGTAGAGAGTAACTTATAAGTAAAAAGTTGACACAAGTTGTAATTGCCATTAATTCTAATGTAATTAAAATGCAAAAACTTGTTTACTTATATCAGATGTCGGGAAATGAACCGGAGAATTACTAAAACATAAAATTAAAAAAACAAATCGAACATTTTATAAAAATTCAAAATTTAATGTAAAACGAAAAATAAAATATCCAAAACTAAAATGCAAGATGTCAAGAAAAAACAATTCATTGGTAAAATATTTGCTAAATAAGAATCAATTGATTACGGGGAAAAAAATAACTCGAAATACATTTTTTAGACAATACTGATTAACAACTACTGCAGTAGTCAATAAAAATGCTCGTACTATATAATAAAACAAACGCTTGGTGAGCGCAACTATTGAAAAAATTTAAAATAAAAAGAGTTCGCAAAAGCAGTTTACATCGGTGAAAATAATAGAACTGTCTCTAAAAAGGTAGAGTGGGCCCTAAGGGATACATAAAACTGTTATGACAATATTTGAGTGCACGCATTACATAATTATGTTTAATTAACAAAACGAGGAAACACTGTGTTTCGATGGAGTTCCCGTCGTATCTAGATTTTTCTTTTCCTTTCTGAAAATAAAAAATGTGATGAAGTGTATATCAGATAAGCGTGTATTTACGTAATAAAGAGGAAAACACATTTTCCAGATATATGGAAAGTTTCAAACGGAGCACACGCAGAACTATTTAACATGAGCAATAAATTCTGATGTTTTCACTTTTATTCACGTGATACTACATTAATGAAATACATATAACAGTTAGTCCCACGTGCTGTTAGCAGACTTCCTCATCAGAGATCAAAAATTAAAAAATAAATTAAAAAAATATGATCCTTTCACCATTTACAGTTTTTTTCGTAATGATTTACATTACTCATTTCTAACTAAAATTAATAACGTAGAAACAGGACGCAGTTAAGCTGGGCGATGCTTGTTGGACATTTTAATATCGCGGTTTATAGTTAGGAACATTCAATATTTCACTATTTTTATCCAAGTTAACCAATTAACATTATTTCAACATCGGTCAACATTTTCCATCAAAAAGTCCTTCAAAGAGGATGCACGCTTCCCTCTTCCAATGCTTGATCCAGGAGTTCCCTCGTCTTCTGGGTTGGGTTTAAAATTACAAGGCTACGGAGTTAAGCATTGTTAGTAGTAAACTCAAATTTGTGTCGGTTGTTCAACGATGGTTATAAAATAAAATAAAATTATCACACATGCTTTTTTTTTATCATAAAACGCGACGTTCACAAGACGCGACATTTTAAAATATATTTTTAAAACAAAATATAAAAAAAATATGTATAGATATTTCACGATATAGTTAAATTTTAATGAACGATAATTTTGGTATCTTAATTTTTAATGATTAAAAAAAAAATTCTTTTTCGCTTCGGAAAAAAATTCTTATGTTAGTTCAAAAACTTTTTCTCTCGTTGTCTTTTTTTTTTTTNACTTTTATAAGGAGAGAAATTTTTACTCAAAAGAGTGACATATAGTCGAATATGCAATAATATAGCCAAAAACTACTGCTATTTTAATACAAAGTTTTATAAGAAGTTTTTTCCGCTATTTTTATATAAATAGCCTTGAAAAGGAAATATTCTTTAAAAAGAAGATCATTCTTTTTTCCAATAGACATTTGCACTAAAGAGAAAATATATATTTTTCTGAACACGCATGACGCATTGAATGAGTAAGAACATTACCAGTCATATGATTATTTATCACGAAGTAAACAATTTATATTGAAGCTAATCACGTCTATGAAGTCAATTTAATTGACTGATAACGAATCATTTCATTAAAAAAAATAATAAGTCTCTGTTAATGCGTTCTCCTGACGATAAATAACAATCACAAAAAAGAGTATTCATATGAAAAGGAATATTTTGATGAAACACAACAAAAAAAATTAAATTTCTATCAATTATCTGCCATATGTTTTGTCGCGAGTTTAGAATGTTCGATTTTAAGAAGGGAGCATGACAACGCATTTGTTTTCACCCATAAACATTCAAACATGTGGTCACTGGGACGCCAGCCACACCCACATTAAAGGGAAAAAAAGGGGATTTTTCCAAAATGAAGGGTAGGTGAAAAAAATAACAATAAATAGGGACTTACCAGGGGGGTAGTTTGAGCAGGGGGATGCTGATAGCGGGATGGAGTTTCAGGTGAATCAAACTGCGATTAAGTGGTCCGACGATCGTCTGCAGACAGATACACGGACACCGCCATCTTTCGGTCGTGTGTGCGAGTTTCTTCGTAGTGTGGGTGTGCTCGATTCCACAAGTAGTGGCGCCATCGGCTTGCATGACGTCATGGAAGAAATCATGATATAAAGAGGGAGCATTCCCTAATAATTATTTTGTGATTTGCTGGTGACATTTAGTTCGATTTATTAGTTGATGCGCACATGGGAGGGAAAATGAAGAAATTTTATGTGTACCCCCTGGAAACCTAATATATTAAAAATTCTATTTTGCTTTAAAATGTCATTAATTTTTTATTCTAAATAATTTCAAATAATGTTTTTTTCGTATCTATCCTGCTTCATAAAATGAGGGTTAAAAAAGGCATTTTAAAATTTAACAGTGTAGCCAACAGTGCGGTGTTTTAAAATTGTATTTTCAATATCCATACATTTTCAATTCGATAATTTTAATAGGAAAACTTTAAACAATAAATTAATTTTCAATAACATTTATAAGTTGATAGTTACTGTACACCAATAATTTTAAAATTAATGACTTAATACGTATTTTAATTAATAAAATGTAATATAAGAATGAAAATTATAAGATTAAAATTTTTTTTTTAATTATTACTTTTTATTTTAATCTTATGTTCGTCATCCTTGGGTTTTTCACCTATGTGATTTAAAACAACTTGAGAAAAATTTAGCTTCTCATGCATGTATGCTAAAGATGGAAAGACATTAATATGCACATTAACTGTAATTTTTTTATAACTAATCTGCAGATCAACTGGTTTGTTCCGTTAAAGTGCGGAATCAAGTATTTGACGCATTTTTCCTAGATACACATTAACGATTTCAGTATCTCTTAAGTTCAAAAGTTTGTTTCGCTCTTTCTATCGACGATTTTGACTTAATTCTTTATGTATTGAAAAATAACTGAATGACATAATGTTAACTTTCTTCATTGAAATAATATTTTAAACCGTGTGATTTTTCTTTCAATTTTGTAAAGTGAGTGATTCTATCAATGATTGTAGGGATTGATATTTCAGATAATAGAAAATAAATAAATAATACTCTGTTAATGTAAGCGTATGGAAACGTAGCTTGATTTAAAGATTGTAAGAAAACTGGTTTCTTTACTTTAGAGATAATATATTAACATATATATATGATATTTAGCGATAACAACTTTATCCATGCATGAGGTATTTATCTGTAACATATTTACACATATATGAGATATTTATCTGTAACATATTTACACATAGATGAGATATTTAGCGGTAACATATTTACACAGATATTAGATATTTAGCAATAACATATCTACACATGTATGAAAATATTTAGCAGTAACATATTTACACATATATCAGATATTTAGCAATAAGATCTTTACACATGTATAAGTTATTTATCGGTAGCATATTTTCAATTGTATGAGATATTTAGCGATAACATATTTACACATGTATGAGATGTTTAGCGGTAACATATTTACACATATGTGAGATATTTAGCTGTAACACATATATATGAGATATTTAGCGGTCACATATTTATACATATATGAGAAATTTAGCCGTAACATATATAGAAAACTTAGCAGCAGTGGCACACAAGCTTTAATATGCAGAATTATTTAATACAAGAGGATTTGAATTAAATAACTTTTAAACTATGATCTACTTTTAAATATGATGGAGTAGCATCTATTAATTTATAATTAAGGAAGTAGTGTGGGAAATATTTACAAATTTGCTAAAAAACAGTTTACTAAACATCGTTTAAGAAAATACGTAGCATTTATCTTATTTTTTAAATTGAAACATGAATTTTAATTTCGGCTATAAATATAACTTTTATCTGTTACATAACAGGATTAATTTCTAAAATTTAAATTTTATGCTTTTTTAATCATCGTCATGCAGTTATTAGGAATCATTTGCAGCAGTTACTTGATGTATCGAAATTGCAACAAGATTTGCATTTTTTTTTTTCAGTGCTGCAAAGCTCAGAAGAAAAAATTTTGTATTTTCATTGTGTTTATTTATGAATTAGTATTATTTTATGACAATTTTAATGCCACGATGATTCTTAGGGTAAAAATCCGGATACGCCGGGAAAAAGTTATGCTAATTCGGAAGAAGCACGTTTTTGTGTCTAAATTCATAATTTCAAATTTCGTCTCTACAAATTAATTAGCATATTTCATGTTAGGATATCGAACCATTGAGATTGAGTACATGAAAATCTGATCATTAGATCCAAAAGTATTAAAGGTGTCCCCTGTCTTTTTTTTCTTTTCTTTTTGCATACTCTACATTTTGCATGTTGATGAAATTGAGTGATCAAAAAGAGATAGGGAATGCATCCCACTGAAAAAAACTGCTGTTACCATGGCAATCTCTGCTTCGGTAGCACTTAGTGATTTTTCTAATGGAAAAAATGGAATTTTCTAAAAACTGGTCTTTATCCATGATAGTTTTTTCCATCATTTTTAAGTAAGGAAATTGTTTTGAGATCCTTATATTTTTTTTTAACCATATCACTCAAATAACTGTCTTAAATTGTTTCTAATTTTGAACAACAAATTTGGCATTGTCACATTGTGCATTTGAAAAAAAATTATGCAAAAATTTAGTGTTTGTAATACTGTTTCAGAGTGTCTGTGAAAATATCATTTCTCATTGTTTGCCATTTGTAAGTAAATACGTGGTAAAGAGATTCCGTATATATGTATATATATAAGTTAAAAATACAAAGAATATATAAAAAACAGCAAAGATCAATAAAAAGAGAAAAAGAAAAATTATTAAAACAAAATATTTTTAAAAAATATTTTAAAAAATTAGTTTTATTTTTAGAGCTCTTCATACTAATGTATTGATATCATTTGCTATGGCTATATTGATACAATATTAGGAAGCACCTCTATTTGGGGATATAATCGTGTGAGATGATGAGGTGATTATTCATTTTTTGTTTTCCGGCTTTTTATTACACATTTTTTATTNTTTTTATTTTTTAAAAAATAATTTTTACAAATATTTTATTTCAAAATTTTTTCTTTTAATTGATCTTTGCTGTTTACAATGTTTCCTCTGCATTTTTAACTTATTTTATGAGTTCTGTATACTTGCAGCTTATGCACAGTAATTAAAACTTATTCATTTTCTTCTTTTTTCTCCTTTTATCTTTATTGTGCTACTACCTATATATGTATGTATATATATATACCTATATATATATATACGTAGATAGATAGATAGATGGATACATAGATGGATATAATCCAACAAAAAATTATTTTAAATAAAATGATCTATTTTTAAATTATGTAATGTTTGTAAGAATGTATGTAAGTAATAAGTCCCATCTATAACCACGAACATGGAGCTGCTATATAGAATTTTGTACGTTTTTAAGTATAATTTTATAACTGGCGGGGATTTTAGTGTCCCAAACAGTTTGACATTACCAAATTTGAACAAAATAAAAAAAAATTTTTCAAATATGTCACATAAATATTTTCCGATAACAATGAATATTGTTTGAGATACCTTCTCTCATAGGCGACCGATTTCAAACTAATCCTACGGGGAAAAAATTTATAATAAAGAAAATCACAAAGAGTGTTCGCGCGACAACACTGAATAAAAAATAATAAATTAGTTAATTCAGTAAACTTGGTAAGGATGTAATATATCCGTTTAATGAATCTGTGAAAAATACAGGATTATAATTGGATGCCTGCAAGCGACGTAATCATGGTTAAATACTGGCATTCGTTTATGTTACAATTGATCAGAAGCCAATCATGATCGAAACATACGGGTGACGTCACTTTTCGGTAGCAATTAAATCTGACCCGAAAATTGATTCAGCTTCATAATAAACCAAGCCTAATTGCTGTAACGTTACCCTGACAACCACATGGCTCAACTTAGTGATTTAAATTACATGGTTAACCTTAATCACCCCATATTTTCTTCTCCAGTTACGAGTACACAAATGCCTTCCAATATATTTTTAAAAATTTATATTTTTTCCGTTCCTATTTCAGACGCTATGTAACTTTTCTTTTTTTCTTTAAATTGTTTATATAAATATGTCTAAATCATTCCCTTTTTTCGAATGAAGCAAGTTTTAAACGAATCCCACTCTGCAAATAAGGAAAAAAAAAATTTTTTTTTGAGACAGATCTAGTTTATAGCGATTTTTTAAGTATATATACAAATGCAATCAAGGAATTCAGGTTCCTGTCTTAGTTCTTCTACAGAGCACTTTCTTTTTAATTTCTAAAAATACTTAATTATTGAATTTAAATTTTTAAAGAATTAGTTTTTAAAGTATTAAGAATTACTATGTAATACAATTTTTAAATCCCCCCCCCCCTACAGACCTTGTTTTCACTACCGTTTGTAAAGCATGCGTCATTGATGGTTCCAGGCTAGTGTCTTAAGTCGATTATAGCAGTATATTTAGATTATAAAATTTATTTTTCTTTCGATTTTTAAAAAAAATTATTTAGTTTTTTGACGACAGATCTAGTGTAAACCTTTCATACTGAATGTAATATGCCTCATAATCCTTAATGGCACAAAGAAGGGTTCGCGTTCATATCTTGGGTCTTTTTCGGCATAACCACTAAGAAATGCGTAGGAGGTAAGAAGTCTTATTTTGGTTGTAAAGGTACTTGGTTCAAACCTCGGGCTGTCATGACGTTTTTGAATTAAATAAAAAAATCAGTTTAAAATAAAACGTAAAATATTTTTATTTTTTTAAAAATTTTTTATTATGGTGACTTAATAAGAAAATAAGATGCTCATTGTTTCAGATGGAAGTAGGTTCAAGCGAACAAAAAATTCAGTGCAAAAAATTAATAAAATTAAGACACGTCGCTGTTTAAACCAGGGGTCGAAAAAGCTCAGAAATTTTACCCGTCCCCGAGGACAGCATGTCCAACAATGTGCCCGTCCTCATTTGAAACTAACCCGAAGCTTCTAAATAAATAAAAACATACTTTTCTCCTATTTATTACAAATATTTATATAAATTGCACATTGAATTAGTAGTTACTAGGATTA